TCCTCTGGCGTCCTCTCTTCTTGACGTTACTGACCCTGAGTGCGACCTTGCTCATGCTGCTAGTCCTATTGTCATTCGTCTCCTCGCCACTATTGTCACTGACCTTTCCTTTCAGTCTACTGCTACGTTTTCCCTAGCCACTGAGCTAGGTCGACTTTGCTACTACCCGTCGTCTCAACTACGTCGAGAGTCTTATTACTGAGTCCGAGTCTGTCTGTCCTCCATACGTCAGGGGTGAGCTTGCCCTTAGCAGTGACGTCCTTGAGGACAGGCAGTTTGAGTTTGAGTGTCTCACGGGCCACTTTACCTCGTTTCACGTCCATGCTGCTTTGCCCCGAGGGAGACTCGGATGCACTTGACATCCCTACCTCGCGCTCTTACGCAGAGGCGATCACGTGTGAGTACTCCTTTCAGTGACAGGCAGCCATGGACGCAGAGATGGCTTCCTGGAAGTCCACATGCACCTACGTCAACGAGGTTCCTCCTCCTTGGGCGAATTTTGTCGATGGCATGTGGATGTTCAGAGTAAAGCGACTACCGGTTTCTCCGCCTGTTATGTGATGCTATCATTTGCATTCACGTCTGTCTGCCTCCCAACATATGTTCGTGCGTTGCATGCGTGGTGTGAGCGTGTGCAAGAATTTGTGTTTTCTGTGGTTTGACTTTCTGATGTGTGTGTGAGTGTTATTTGGCCTGAGCAGATATCTCAAGTGACTCCTCTGCTCAAGAGCTTTTTTGACGAACCAAGAATCGTCGCGATCGGAGCAAGAACGAGGAAGTTGTGATCGTTCAAAGATTTGTTTGTGTTGCGACGACTTTGGAAGTTGTGAAGTGACTCAATATGGGGTACATACTTTTGGGGGTTGGGAAATTCGTCCCCATCACTGTAGATGCTGCCAAGTGGTTGGAAGAAACTAAATTGGGTTGGCAAGTGTGGCCAACTTGGGTGAGGTGGATTGTGGGGGTTGGGATAGTGACAAAAGTGAAAGTGGGGTTGCCTATGGAGAGGGGAATTGTATTGCATGGGGTTTCCTTGGTTGGGGACTCTCTTGGGACCTTCCCTCTCGTCCTCCTCATCCCCTCCCACCTGGTTTATTGCTACTCTAACTCTCTTGTGTAGTCATTCTGAAATTGTGAGACTCTTGTGGTTGAGTTAAGTTTTCTATGACAGCTTACCCCCTAGTGTGCCGAAATCCATAACTCAAGATTTACTTCACCTTTTCGTATGATTCAAATTGGGAATTGTAGCCACGGACTAGAGCTACAACATATCTGAAATTGTGAAGTTTCAACGGTGTGTTTTTCGTCGACGACGTTTCTTGTGAACTCGACGATTTTGTTCAGATTTCTAAGCCAACGATTTTGTGATATTTCGGCACCTAATCTTCGTAGTCCTCGTCCTTAGTCTCTAACAAGTGGTATCATAGCAGATTAAGGACTTTGTGGAGAGTCTATTGAAGTGTGAAGACCCTCCTAGACCCCACCATGGCCTGTGGGCGTGCCTAAGTGGAGTTCTCGAGGTTGGATGTGACTTCCGCTAAGGGGAAACTCTGCCGAAATTTCGTTGGCGCCGACACTTGTGAAAATATTGTGGGACTTCAGTATGGACAGCAAGGGGGGAGCTAAAACCTGTGATTGGGAGCAGAGGAGATGAGTCAAGGGAGTGGAGAAGCAGCTGAGAAGAGGAGTGAGCCGCCACCATCCAAGATTGAGGCATTGGATGGCTCCAACTACGAGGAATGGAGCGGACAGATGAGGAGCGTCTTCAAGCGCTACAAGCTGCTGAAACTTGCGATGGGAGAAGAGAAGATGCCCGAGGAAGGAGATGCTCGGGATCGGTGGATTGAGCGGAGCGCGGTGTTGTTCGACCTCATCTTGCAATCGGTCAACAACGACATGTTCCAGCACATCAAGGACTTGGTTGAGTTGGACGACTCCGGTCCAAAGGCATGGAAGCTACTGCGCGACGTGATTCAGCCCAACACACTGCCCATGGTGATCGTGCTCGAGAAGGAGCTGGCGGCCATCTCCATGCGATCGGGAGATGATGTGAAGCCGGTCCTTGACAAGATCAAGGACACATATGCGAGGATGGCAGCGGCGGGCAGCGAGGTGTCGCAGATGTAGCAATGCACCAAGATCATCTCGGTGCTTGACAACTCGTGGGACAACCTCATCCCCACCCTCAACGTTCAGCAGGACAAGTGGACGCCTGAGTGGCTACGGCAGCAGATCCTACAGGAGGACTTCCGCAGGCGCCACACTGGAGGTGGTGCTGCCAACAAAACTGCTGAGGGGTATGGAGCTGCAGGAGGCAGCAGAGGAAGAGGGGGTGGGAGAGGCCGAGGCCGTGGGAGAGGCTTTGGCAGAAGGAGAGGCCGAGGTGACTACAACGAGGGGCATGGGAGCTCTGGAGGTAGGGGGAGCACCCGAATGGAAGGAGCTTGCTGGTACTGCAAGAAGGTTGGACACCCGTGGTTCAAGTGTTTTAGCCGGCCTGAGGGATGGGCGCCTCCAGGCATGAAGCCGCCAAGTGGTGAACGTGCACGAGGTGGCGTTGTGCAAGGTTCAGGTGCACAAGATGATGGTGCACAAGGTAAAGCCGACCCTGGGATGTTCCTCATGGTTGAGGATGTGCAAGGGAGTGGGGGTGATGTGGGTTCAGTTGGGAAGGTTGTGATGCACCCCCTCACTCACTGGGTAATCGATTCAGGTTGCACAAGTCACATGACCCCATGGGCAGATTTGCTTGACGAGGTAAAGCCTCCTGGGAAGATAAATTTTGTGGCTGCCGCTTCAGGTGCTTTGCTCCCTGTGATTGGTGTTGGGAATGCCAAGGTCATGGGAGCCAATGGGGGGCTTGTGGGGCTAGGAAACGTGCTGTTGGATGAAGGTTTTATCCGCTAACCTCCTCTCTGTGCGCCGGCTGCAGAAAAGCAAGGCCAAAGTTACATTCGGCCCAACCAGCTGCCGTGCAAAGCTTGGGAAGTTGCTGCTGTGGGACTTGGAGGAGAAGAGCAGCTGCATCAAGGACCTCTGGCAGCTGCCCATCATTCCTTGGAATGGGAAACCACCAGCAACGGCAGCGGCAGCGGCAACGGCTAAAACAACTGCTGGGGGAGAGGAGACTGCACCAACTAATGGGGCCCTGGATGCAGTCAAGAAGGTGCAGCAGCCATTTGAAGTTCGATTTGGTTGTGGTGACGATGGGAAGTTGTGAGGTTGACTCCATATGGGGTACAGACTTTTGGGGTTGGGAAATTCGTCCCCATCACTGTAGATGCTGCCAAATGGTTGGGAGAAACCAAATTGGATTGGCAAGTGTGGCCAACTAGGGTGAGGTGGATTGTGGAGGTTGGGAAAGTGACAAAAGTAAAAGTGGGGTTGCTATAGAGAGGGGAATTGTGTGGCATGGGGTTTCCTTGGTTGTGGACTCTCTTGGGACCTTCCCTCTCGTCCTCCTCATCCCCTCCTACCTGGTTCCTAGCTACTCCAACTTTCTTTTGTGAACTTGTGAGAATAATTGTGATTGAGTTAAGTTTTCTATGGCAGCTTACCCCCTAGTGCGCCGAAATTCATAACTCAAGAAATACTTTACCTTATTGTACGTTTCAAATTGGGAATTGTAGCCACGTACTAGGGCTACAACATACCTGCGTTTGGTAAAGTTTTATTTGTGCGTTTTTTGTCGACGGCGTTTCTTGTGAACTCGACTTTTCGGTCCAGAAACTAGGCCCAACGATTTTGAGATATTTAGGCCCCTAATCTTCGTAGACCTCGTCCTTAGCCTCTAACAACATCGTCGTCGCTGTCATGGCCGGTGAGGATGGTGTCTTGCGAAGGGTTTGGGGGTGGTAACTTGGCATCCAAGAGTGGTACGCTGTTCTATTGTAGTTGTGGGCTTCACGAGTCGTATCGTCGGGATCGAATTGATGAATAGGTATGAAGGGTTGGAGTTTGACGGGGGCTTGTAATGGGGATGTCGGGATATGGATCCGTTGGTGTGTTGTCAGTTTCTTCTGCATCCTCTGCCAGGTCTGCCTCAACCTGTGACGTGGCGAAAATGTGATGCCCCTCGAAAACCCTTTCCGGTGCCTTGTCAGCTTCTCGGTGTTCCTTGAACAGTGGCAGAGTCAGATTCTCGTAGAAGATGCAGTCACGTGATCCCGAGGTGAATGCCCTAGCATGCCCGGTCAGTAAATTTTCCGGTCGTTGCTGTGTTTAGCCTGTACTATACCATGCAGCCGAACACTCGAAGAAGATGTGTGTCCGTTTTTCTGCCCGTCCAAGCATTGTTAGGAGGACAGCAAGTTGTGCAGCCGAACAGTGTGATTCATCGCAAAAGGCCAATATCTGGTTGGGATGGCCGACTGCTGCATCAGATCCTTCATCCTTGTGGCGAGGCTCCTCTTTGTCCGTTGTGCTACTCGTTGTTTGTGAGCACAGGGCAGGGACAGCAGGTGCTCGATCCATTCTCAGGCACGCACACTCGCCAAGCGCCACTCACCACGGCACTGCTTCATCTTGGCGTCGTAGGCCTTGGACCCAGGGCACACACACTGGTTCTTGCCGTCCCTCGCAATGCACCTTGCCTCTGACCCACAGTCATCACTGCAGCCTGTGGTAGAAGCATGGGTAGGCAGGGAGAAAAATGACATGGCGAGGCTCAAAACGATACAGCTCAATCCTTGGCACTTGGTACGAGGCAGGATAGAGTGCGTGCAAGTGAGCAGGAGAGTGTGTTTGCACGCTGGACAGGCGTGTGGCAGCTAACAGGTGAGTGCGGGGGCAGTCGTGCAATCTCACCCGTCTCGCATCTCACTGACGCTGGAATCCGGTCGGCAGGGAGCGTCCTGAGAGCAGCAGCAGCGGGGGCACGGGGGCGGCAGGGGAGCACAGGGAGCGATGAGAGTGAGACACGTGGAAGAAGGAGAGGGGCGCGCATCCGTGCCAACCGAACCAAACCGAAGGAGGTTTCTACCGGTGCGGCACGTGCGAGCTCACCACTGACTGGAGGCAAAGTCCAAAACAGCCCAATCCGGCGGGGGACGCAGGATCGTCTCGTAGGGGCTTGCCCCGCAGCCCGGCGCGGAGTGGAAGGAGATGCTGCTGCACCTGCGCTCAGCACCAAGCATGCCCTGCCAGTCGATCTGCGCGTTGACGTTGCTTCCATCCGCGAACACGCTCCGATCCACGTCTTCGCATACACAATTTCTGATCAACAAGTACTGATCTTCGAATGACACCATCGAATCGCATACAGCGTCAACGCTGGCGGCGGTGAGGAGCGCGAGTGCGACGACGGCAGCGAGGGCCGTGGCGAGGCCGGCTTGAAGGGCGGAACGCGGGCCGCGCGCCATGGCGACGAGAGGCGGGGCGATTGGCGAGGGGAAGGTGAGGCTGCGCGCTGCGGCAGCGTGGTGAGCGCGTGATGCGGCGGCCCGCACCCGCGCCGACGGCTCTGCACTGCGGCTTGCCGCTGCTGCGGTGGCGGATCCAAGCAAGAGCGAGGCGATGAGAACCGAGATGGAGTGAAGCGACGCACGGCGCAGCGATGAGTGAAAGGAGACTGAAAAGGAGGGAAACTCGAGTGGAATGGCGAGATATGGTGAAGGGAGGGAAGTGGGGGTTTATGTAGCGAGAAAGCGGCCATTCCCGCCGCATTAGCCGGGGAGGGGACGAAAACGGGATGAAAAGGTATCGTGAACGAGGCCCGGAGTGCACCCATCACGCATTGCTGCATCGCTATTGGACAACTACGGAGTCGAGTCGTGCGATTCTACTTATTTGTTCAAGCTATTTGACTCCCACAACGCGATCATGAGGATGATCGTGGTCGCGGTGCAGGGCCCAGGAAATTAGGGTGTTTTTCCTTGAGACTTATTTTGCTGTACGTTTTTGTGACCGCGCTGCTAAAACGGGCTTCCACGATTGTACCACCAGGTCATTGGGTGGCACGAGCATCCAAATCACCCTGCGATTGCAAAATACGAGCTGCTTGCGGCACTGCCTTCCGTGACCACCAGTTTTCCCCCCTCCTGTATTTTCCCTCTCAAATGTCATCCGTTCGGTTCAGTCGCGAATGCGACTGATTTCTCAGGAAACCTGTCCAAAATCACGAAGGACCTATCCGCGAAGAAGTGCATACTCAGATTTGGCTAGTGTGATTAGAAGGGCCAACCAGCGGCACGAGTTGTTGTGAAGTATGGGTATCTTCTAGCCTACGTTAAAGCCGACCGTCTGTCCATGTCCCTGCATTATATCTTCCAGTTGCCTTGCGACCCCTGCTGAACCGTTCCTTCTTCGTTCCTTCACAAGGGGAAACGAAGCACCCTGCCACTCTCGGGTGTGCTGCGCCTGCCACACTGCAGCGGCAGGGTGAAGGTGGGTCACAACTTGTATCTGGCTGGGTGTTCCAAAACACATTAAAAAATCCTACTGTTTGACCCGCCGCAACGTGGTGCAGAACCCAAGAACGCGGTGCAGAACCCAAGAACGCGGTGCAGAACCCAAGAACGCGGTGCAGAACCCAAGAACGCGGTGCAGAACCCAAGAACGCGGTGCAGAACCCAAGAACGCGGTGCATTGCAATTGATTGGTGCACGCCAGTGCGCAACACCAAGCCGACCCAACCCCAGCCCTTGAAACATGACGAAACTACCACACTACGGTATTGTCCCACAATTGCTGAAGCACTTAAAACTTGGTGTGAAATATTCTGTAAATGTAAGGAAATTTACACGCACCTCAATTCACCTCTTACACTGTTGGACTCCCAAAAGTGCAGCAAACCTCTCCACTACCATTCCATCCCATCCAAGCCAACTCGGCAATCAACTCATGACAGGCAAAACAGAAAGCTGCAAGAAACCCGAACCAGGCCCTCAGATTCACTTTGAGGCACGTAAGGGTATCAGGGTCCCTCTGGCCCTAGACCCTGATCGACAGGGTCGCCTAGGAAAAAAAGCCTGAAAGTTCAGTGTTACTTAAAAAAAAAGTCTGATGCATCAGTGTCACCTATAGAAAAAGGCTGATAGTAGTGAAGCTGATTTTTTAACCTCTATGAAGGTCGCAAACAGCCTTCAATCTATCTATCTATCTGTGTTGTAAACCAAAGCCTATCTTGCTTGCTAGCTAGCTATGCATTGCATCCAGCATGACTCTGGGTCTGGGTGAGTTCAGTAATCATCATCTGATGAGGCCTGCTTGTCATCATCATCTTCTCTTCCCTTAGCCTGTCGTTCTGCCCACTCTTCCTCCTCTAGGGCCTCCTTTCCCGTGCTATCCCTGCCCTCTCCCTCTCTTTCGGGTGGTGCCGCCACATTGCCGAATGGGCGGCGCTTCTTGTAGCTGCGCCAGATCTGCACCACCTCATCGTAGTTGGGCTCGTACTCGAGTAGAGACATGGTGACGAGGTCTTCGAGGCGGGCGTCCTTCAAGCTCCCCCGCTGCCACGATTTGATAACGTTTTGGCGTGAGAAGCCGCGCTCACACTCCACTGTGCTCAGCGGCAGCACGGCGACAGCCACCCAGAGACGCACCAGATTGGGGTAGCCAGTCGCCCAGTCGCTTGTCTTCAGCATTGCTGTTAGGCCTGCGTGGAAGCTCCGCTCGTTCTTCGGGGCACCTGCGAGGATGGGGCAGAAGGCCCGCAGCTCCTTGATCGCACGCCGCTTGTCGACCCCTGCCACATAATGCGGAAGGGAGAGAGAGAGGGGGTTTTTGAAAGGCTGGCAAGTGCGTACACCATACGTTGATGAAATGCAATGACACAATAAGACGGACAGCAACAGTGCGAGAGCGGGAATACCTGGAATGATGTAGTCCGTGTCCTGTGCCCTGAACAGCCTCACGAGAGACTCGAGCCACTCGAGACACTGCCTGTGGCGCTCTGCTCTCCCCAGCTCCCACTCGTCAGGCATGAACAGCCGCACTCCCACCAGGGAGTCCAGGTCCTGGAACCGTGTGCTGAGGTTTTGCACGAGCGTCTCGGCGAAGGTGGTGCAGAGATCGACGCAGGCGTCGTGGGAGCCGAGGGTCGGGTAGTCTTCGCTCGGCTTCTCGTGCAGCTCGAAGGTGTGTGTCGTGGGCCGCCCGTCCGAGTCGACTCCCTGCACCTTCACCTCGGGATTGCCCCCCTCAGGCCCGTGCTTCTTGATGAACGGGGAGAGGCGCGCGCTCACCCCGCCTCCAAAGTCGTCACCACAGTCGACGTAGCGGGACTCTAGGAATGAAATCGACCGGCGGATCTGCCCGTGGACACTTGCAATGTCCAGCTGTTAGGGGTCAACAGGGCGAACAGAGGATGGAGAGAAGGCCAAATCAGTGCAAAGCAGATTCTGCTTAAGCAGTACATCAAACAGTGACTCACAAACCGAAACAAGGCACACAATCCAGCAACGATAGTAACCAAGCTCACCTCACGCTGCTGGAATGCCCTGTTCAGCACATTGAGCTGCTCGAGGACGTCTGCAAGGAAGTATAGCAGAAAGTGAAACCTGTAGCTCGTGGCGAGCTCGTAGAGGGTGATGTCCCACTCATACAGCATCACGATCAGCGCGGGGAAGACCTCTACCGCGCGCAGAATGGCGTCACCCGCGGGAGAGCCAGCGGACGTCGTGGATCCCTTGTAGCTCCAGGTTTGTTTTCGTGAACACCTCCTGCAGGCCAATGAAGCGTTGATGCCACGGGCCAGAACGCCCCAAATGCTCTGCCACTTGGCGGAGCAGGGAGTCCACCATGCCGAACTCGGGGAGTTGTTCAGCGGCGTCCTTTGCTGCGAGGGCCTCCCTGCATGCACACCAGCATTAAAACCGGCTCAAGGAGGGGTTAGCAGGGGATGCAGCAGGGACTGTATGGAAGCAGTAAACAGAAGATGAAAACTGACCTGTGGGCGATGCAGTGGCTCGAAACAAGATGCGGGATGCGGAGGCGAAGTCGAGCGACAAGGCCGTTGTGTTTCCCCATCATCACACTCGCTCCGTCAGTGCTTATGCCGGATATCCTCGCCATTTCAATGCCTAGGGCCTGCAGGTGGGACAAGAGCACTGAGAGGAGAGAGGCTGCATCGCCCTTCTCCACGGTCAGCAGGGCAAGGAACTCAGTCACGGGACGATTTTCACGGATGAATGTCGCGAAAACAATCATATGCTTTCCCCGACACCTGTCCGTGCTTTCGTCGCACGTGACGCCAATGTATGGGCTGCTGAGGATGTGCTGCAGTTGCGTTGTGTGCAACCATGTGGCCATCGACTGTGTCAGCTGCCCGAAGCCGTAGCTGCAGCGCATGTCAAACAACACAACGTCAGATAATTCGGTTGAGTTTCACAAACACGGTTGCAGTTAGATTAATTCAACACTCACGTAGTATAATAGGTTCCGTAGCCTTTTGCTGGGAACCCGGGCACCTTGAGTCGCGCGAGGTAGCGCACAAGATTCACCCATAACTCTATGGGTGCATCTTGCTTGGTCACGAAGAGCAGGGAGTCGAGGAGCTTGACGACCCGCTCCTTCTCCGTGTCGCGAGCGAGATTGTCGCCGTTGATCCGTGGCTGCGTAGCGACGTCGTCGAGAAGCTTCTGCTGGTGTTTCAACGCCTCCTTGTGCTTGGTAGTTGCCGCATGCCGTTTGAACGCCTGCGTCTGAACGTCTGTGGCGCCCTTTCCGCCTCTCCCACACGGTCCAGCGTAGCCTGCGTGCTCCGTACAGATGCTGCACTTGAAAGCGGGGAAACCGTCAGCTTTTTTTAGCAGAATAAGCCAAGAAAAACCGCTCGAGCCACTCGCTTTTGTACTTATACAGAGCCTCCGCGTAGGTTGCGTCTGGCCCTGCCGGTTTAGAAGGCCCAGGTGTTGAGGGCGACGCCTGCGTGCCTGCGGTCGCGGGCGTCGACAGTTGGTCGGCTGGCGAAGCCGGTGTTGCACCAGCGGGACCTCCCTTCTTGGGCCACGGCAGCGTTGACTGCGTGTACCTGGCGGACTTCTTAGCCACTGGCACCGCCGCGATTTCTTCACCTGAAGGGTTGGAGCTGTCTTGCTCCAACACGGGCGCAGTAGGGGAGGGACACAGAGGCTCGTCGATGGGTTCAAATGGAACATCGACGGTCGGCGCGACTGCAGGCGCCTTTCCATGGTTATCTACTGCCGCTAAGTTGGAGAATAGCAGATCCAGCCCGGTAACGGCCGCGGACAGATCAATTGGCGAACGATGAGCGGGTTCATCGCCGGGGTCATCAGGTCGTTCAATGGCGTCCGGGTGGTCCGCCATTGATTGCGCTGTGAACAAGCAGCATCTAACGGGACTCCCTAGCTAGCTGAACGATGGAGGTTTGCCAGGAAGAGAGGACACACGGCTGACTGCCTCTTGGTACACCAGGCAGCAACGCGATGAAACCTTACACATGCTAGATGGAAGGAAAGCATGGAGCAGACTGGGGTGGGAGACTGGATGGCTGGCAGCACGGCTGGGCGGCGTGGATGCATCCGTGCTTGCCAGCACGACTTAGACAAAACGGGCCAGAGGACCACAGATGCTTCACATGGGCCTGAATCCCTCGTTGCGCTGCCTGCCAGCATCGCTGTGCTGCAACCCTGTAATTGGCCAAATCAGGAAATGCTATCAAAGTGGCCAATCATCGCACCACGCGCGCCAACAACGCATCCCTCTACGAGGCAAATTTGTCTGCTACTCACCGCCACGCCCTGCTGACACCGCGGGAATCTGATATTCCCTGTACAGCCGGGCAACTACACACGAACCGTGTAGGAATCGCTTTCAGGGTCGGATTCGTTACAACGTAGTGGAATCAGTGTCACTAAAATTTTTTTGCTGAAAGTTCAGAGTCATGTGCTAGGTGAAGGCTGAAAAATCAGCCCCACAAAAAGCTGAACACTGGAAAATCAGTGTAGGTTAAAAAAAAACCCTGGAAATCAGGAATTTCAGGGGAAAATTCCTGATATCGTAGGGCCTGACCCGAACCCACAGACTGGCGCCAGTAAGTGATGTCTCAGCCGCGTGGAAACGGAAACCGTGGGCCACGTGGATACAGTGTGGAAGCATTGGGAGCATGTCCTCCTAAAGGGCCACCCCTGTGTCCTCCTGCCCCACCAGGCGGCCCAAGCAAAGGCCCTACCCCTTGTGGGCCCATCCTCTGCCCTGCCATCCCTGCCCCGCCCATGCCACCCATGCCTGCAACACTGCCCATGCTCCCCATCCCCATCCCTTGGCCCATCCCCATGCCTGGACCTACCCCTGCAATGCCTTGACCTGCCCCCAAGCCCATCCCCCCTCCAGCCACCCCACCGGGCTGTGCAGCAGGGGAAGGCGAGGAGTACCAGCCAAGGCCCGATGCGAGGGGGCGCAGTGTGAGCGACGGCACTGCCAGGTTGCCGCTGCTGCTACCGCTCAGGGGTTGCGCGGATGCACCCACGTACTGGCCTGCCCACTGGTGGGCAGGCGTGTGGGGACTGGGCGCACGCACATGAGGGGGCGTGCGCGCGTTGAGGCGGTGTTGGGGGAATGGAGAGGAGGTGGAGGGCGGATGGGCAGAGCGGAGGAGGTGTGATGGGCGCGCTGGCATGGGCTGGTGCATGGGGGAGGGGTTGAACCTCCCAGGAGGAGGGCCGAGGCGAGGGGAAGGGCCGATGGGAGGCGATGGACGGAGGGGAGGAGAGAAGAGCACGGAGGGTCGCATTTGAGGTGTGAAGGGAGAGGGAGGGCCAGGGCAGGGGTGCACGAGTGGGGGAGATGTGTGGTGCGGGATGCGGTGGGGAGGAGGGCCGGCACGGCCCGGGGGGGAGCTGAGGAGGGCGCGGTGGGTAGGGCGGGGAAGGGCGGCCCCAACGCAGCAGAGCCCATGCCCATGCCCCTGCCCATGGCCATGGGGGGCATGGGGCGCATGGGTGGGCCCTGGGGGAAAGGCCGGTGGAACTGCTGCTGCTGCTGCTGCCGCTGGTGTTGGTGGTGAGGGAGGAGGGGAGCAGAGGTGAAGGGACGGTTGCCAGTGGCGGTGATGGCGGTGGCCTGCAGCAGGCGCTGTGCCTCAAAGCGGTCGCGGTCCACTATGCGGTGCGCCTGGGGGCGAGGAAGCGCGGCGTACAGCACCTCGTCAAACACGTCCCGCCCCCGCGACTCCGCTGCTGTCAGCGGCAACACAAAGTTGGCTGACCGGGTGCATGGGGCACAGCAATGAGGTAGGGGGAAATGGGAGGTGCGGTGGGGAAAGTGATTGATCAGCTGCTGGTTGTGGTGACAACTGCTGGACGAATCTGCATTGGAGTGGACGACTCAAAAAGTCATGTGCTCTGCTGTAGGGACGGCCTAAGAGGAGGAGCTAAGAGGAGGCCTTAACGCACCTTTCATCTCCTGCACTGTGAGAAGAGGCACCTCCTTGCCTGTCTCCTTGGTGCGGCGGTCACTGCGACGCCTCCACTCCGTGTATGTCAGCACCACCACCACCGCCACCTGGGCGAGGGATGTGCATGACACACACACATGCACACATGCACACATGCACACACACATGCACACATGCACACATGCACACACACATGCACACATGCACACATGCACACATGCACACACACATGCACACATGCACACATGCACACACACATGCACACATGCACACATGCACACACACATGCACACATGCACACATGCACACACACATGCACACATGCACACATGCACACACACATGCACACATGCACACATGCACACACACATGCACACATGCACACATGCACACACACATGCACACATGCACACATGCACACACACATGCACACATGCACACATGCACACACACATGCACTCACGCACACACACATGCCAACACACATGTACACACACATGCACACATTCACAAACACACACACACACACACACACACACACACACACACACACACGTGCACACATACCCACACGCATCCACACACACATGCACACACACACGCACACACACACGCACACATGCACACGCGCACATGCCAACACAAATGCACACAACCGCACACATGCCCACACAAATGCACACATGCGTGAGAGCATGAACTACATGGGAGCAATTGCAGCAATGGAAGCAGCAGCAGAACATACAAAAAAGGGGCACGACTCGATGCCATCAAGATTCAGATTCACTCCATGACATCTCGCCTCGCCTCCCTTACCATACCAGCTTTCCGCTTTCCCTTCTCTTCCCCCCCTCCTTCCCTTCTTGTCTTTCCCTCTCTCCCGCAACAACCCCACAACCGCATCCCCCTCCCCGTCCCATTTCTCTCCGCCCATTCCTCTCCCCCCATCCTCCCCTCCCCCAACAGCACCGCACCTTCTTAAAGTGGTGGAAGGGGCGCAGCTTGCGGCGGCGGGCGTGGGCGTACACGTTGGTCTGGTCCAGGATGTAGTTGCGCGGCACGGCAGCAGCGCGCTCCACCAGCGTGCCAAACACCTGCGATGCCATCGGCATCAGCTGCGCCCACCGCTGCCCATACCCCTCCTCGCTCCGCTCGCCCTGCTTGCCTTGCCCGCCTGGCCCCTGTGGTGGCGAGCGGAAGAGGGTGTGTGTGTGATGAGGGGAGGGGCGGGCGGAGAGAGTGAGAGTGGGGTATTAGTGTTAGGGAGGAAGGGAGGAAGCGAGTAGACGCTTATGAGGATTTTGAAGGCGATTCAGGTAGAGGACAAGGGTGCAATAGGAGGCAAGGGCGCAATAGGGCGCGGAGAAGAAGGGGAGGGATTGGGGAGGAGGGGGGTTGATATGCATGGGCCTATGTGGATGGTGCAAGTGCCATGGAGCATTCGAGACAGCTGCAGAAACGATGTGGAGGGACACAGCCGAGAGGTGGGAGGGGTGTGGGAGGGGGGTGGGAGGGGGGTGGGAGGGGGGTGGGAGGGGGGTGGGAGGGGGGTGGGAGGGGGGTGGGAGGGGGTGTGGGAGGGGGGGTAGGAGGGGGGGTGGGAGGGGGGTGGGAGGGGGGGTGGGAGGGGGGTGGGAGAGGGGTGGGAGGGGGCATGATGTGAATCAACAAGAATTTTCTGATCACGCAAAGTCACTTCCCCAACCCCCCCCTTTCACCATCTCCCCACGCAGCACCACCATCATCCCTTTCATCCCCCCTTTCTCCCTCCCTCCCCCTTGCCCCACGTGCCCCCCCATGCGCACCTGCATGAGCGCCAGCACGCGGTCAGTGCCCAGCACCACATAGCGCTTTTCCGGATGTGCCCTCGCCCTCTCCTCCGCACACGTGGACTTGCCACTACCCGGCAGCCCCACCATCATCACCACCTCGCACTCCTCCCTCTTGCCCAACGCCGGCCCCGCCACACGCACCACCACGCCCCCTCCTCCCGCCTCTGTTGCTTCTCCAGCTCCACTCCCCTCCCCCCCTGCCTCTGCCCCTGCCTCTGCCCCTGCCCCTGCCCCTACCCCCTCGGTGGCCTCTGCAGCCTCAGCCCGATCTCCCCCGTCCCCATGCCCTGCCTCCTGCTTCGCTGCGGCCTCCCCACTGCTCTGTGCGTTGGCAGCAAGGGGCGTGCTTGCAGGGACGGTGGTAGGGGGGGCAGCCCCAGCCTCGGAAGGGGCGGCGCAGGGGGCGGAGAGGAGGGGCGCGTCGGACCAGGGCAGGTAACCCGGGGGGGGTGAGAGGCCGTCCGCGAGTGAGAACTGTAGACGCACTGCAGAGAAGGAGGGACGGGTTAAGGTTAGGGCAGGGCCGTAGGGGAGGGATGGGGGCGGCCAGCGATGAGGCGCGATGAGTAGCGGGCATGCGAGGGGGCAAGGCAAGCGAGGGGGCGAGGCAAGCGAGGGGAGCGAGGAGGACATGACTGACGGCCAGGAGCGAGGGAGCGCGGGAGGGTGCAAGGGAGGGAAAGAGGGAGGGAGGGAGGGAGGGAGGGAGGGAGGGAGGGAGGGAGGGAGGGAGGGAGGGAGGGAGGGAGGGAGGGAGGGAGGGAGGGAGGGAGGGAGGGAGGGAAGTGGAGGGTGGGAGGGAGGGAGGGAAGTGGAGGGTGGGAGGGAGGGAGGGAAGTGGAGGGTGGGAGGGAGGGAGGGAAGTGGAGGGTGGGAGGGAGGGAGGGAAGTGGAGGGTGGGAGGGAGGGAGGGGAGTGGAGGGTGGGAGGGAGGGAGGGGAGTGGAGGGTGGGAGGGAGGGAGGGAAGTGGAGGGAGGGAGGGAAGTGGAGGGAGGGAGGGAAGTGGAGGGTGGGCGCGGGGCAAGGCATCCCGCATTACCTTTGACATTCTTCACGAGCACGTGGGGGAAGAGCGCTGCTTTCAACCACGCATTCCCGTCCTCCACGCCACCACCACTCACGGTGCCTTCCCCTGTGGCATCACCGGCACTCCCCGTGCCCCCCACCCCTCGCCCCTGCTCGCCACCATCTACCTCCATCTCTGTGCTCCTGCCCTTGTCATTTTCGCCCGCATCCCCTCCCTCTCTCGTCCCCTCCTTGCCCTCCTCCCCTGCCACCTTACCCATCTCCCCTCCACCTTTTTTCTCCTCGCCTCCACCTTCGCCCTCCGCCTTTCCTTCACTACCCTTCTCTCCTCCCGCCTCCCCCACCTCTTTGCCTTGCTCTGTTCCCTCAATGCCCTGCTCACCGCCTTCCTTGCCCTTCTCACCTTCCCCTTTGCCCTGCTCCCCTACCTCCCCGCTCTTTTCCATTGTTCCATCCGTTCCGTTCCTTTCTTCAACTTCACCGCCCTCCGCTCCCTTCACCTCTCCCCCTTGCCCCCCACCCCCCTCCTGCCGCCCCTTCCCCATCGCCCTCCACCGCTTCAACCTTCTCTGCCACACCAACCTCCCCTTCTTTACCCTCCTCCGCCTTCCTTTTTTCCTCCCCGCCCACCACCCCACCCCCCTTCCCCCGCAGCAGCCCCCACTCCTTCCCCCTCATCCCGCGCCTCAACACTCCCCACCTCCCCTCCTCCCGCAACCCCGCCCCCCTCGTCCCCTTCCCCCCCTCCTCCCCCCTCCGCCAGCTCCGCAGCGCCCCCCAGAGGCGGGAGGCGGAAGGCCTCGCCGAGCCAGGCGCCGTTGAGCGCGAAGGCGAGGGCGCGCGCAGGGAGGTCCACGGCACACAGCACCACGTCCCCGCGCGCCCAGGGGCGCGCGTACGGGGCGACCGCGCCCCCCGTGATTTTCTGAACGGCGTGTGAGGTCAGGACGAAATTGATGGAGAGGGGGGGAGAGCGGGCACGTTAAGGAAGCGGAAAACGAGGGGGGCGGGGAGAGAGGGGAATGAGGGGAGGCAAAATTGACAGAGGCAGGGAGCACGAGGGCGAGAAGAATGAACGATGGCTGGACGCTGCAAGGCGGCTTCATGGGTTCACCGCTCCCCACTCCTAAACCCCTCTCCCATTTCCCCATCTCCGGTCTTCCCTCTCCTCTCTCCCCCTCTCCCCTCTCCCCTCTCCCCTCTCCCCTCTCCCCTCTTCCCTACCCTCGCTCACCCTCCCCAAGGGCTCATCACCTTGCCCTACCGCTCTTCATCGTACCCCACCTGCCTCCCCGCTCGCCACTCCCCGCGCCACTCCCCTCGCCGCTCCCTTACGCGCCCACACCCCCCTTCTCCTGCACCTCTGTCCCTCCCCCGTCTCCCCTCCGCACCCCACCTACCTTCCCACTGCTGCCATATGCAAAGCTGTCACGTGTCTCCCCCAGCGACCCCACGTCAGCATCCAACGTGGACACGCCTATCCGACACAAATATCTCTCGTCCTCCGGGATTCCCACAACCGTCTCCCCGCCTGTGCCCGCTTGCGCCCTATCCCCCGCCGCTGCTGCCCCTCCCGGTGCTGCGGCGCCCGCCGCCCCTCCCCGCAGCACCCGCGCGTCCAGCGCCTGCTCCTCCTCCACCACGCACGCGAAACAATACCGCCCGCCGCTGCCGCCGCCTCCGTCGTGCGCACTCGCCGTTCCCGTCGCGGCAGGCCCCGCTCCTTCCGCCGCTGCTTCCAACCCCACATGTGCTATCACTGCCCCCTCCCCTTGCCCTGTCGCCCCCCCCTGAGCCGTGCTCGCAGAGGCGTCCGCTGCCCCCGAGGCTGCTGCGGGGGTGGCGGCAGACGGGGTGCGAAGCGCGATGCCGTAGTTGGCGCGCGCGCCCGACCACATGTACGCGAAGCCGCCGTGCGATAAGCCCGCGCCCCAGCAGACCGCGATCCGATATGGTGAAATCTGATTGACGGGAGAAACGACGGTGCGCGGGAGAGAGACGCAAGAGAGAGGGCAGGAAAAGGGAGAGGTGAGAGCGGGTGGCAGGGGTTGACGAAGGCGGCACCAGCAGTGGGCTTATCACGCACCGAGGGTGCAGTCTGCAGGGTTTAGCGCCACAGCCGTTGGATCATCCGGCATGGCGGGCTCCTTCTTGGAAGAGGAATCGCAACCGTTCGCTGGCTGAGACGCATCGGCCAGGATCGAAGGGTCGGGTCTCGCCTTCTTAGCCTTGTGAACCTCGCCGTCGCCGTCATCGCCAGTGTCGCCGGCGTCGCCGGCGCCGTCGCCAGCTGCTAGATCCACGTCGCATGCGTCGCCAAGGCCGTCGTCGCCATCTCCGATGTCCACGTCGCACGCGTCGCCGAGACCGTCTTCGCCATCTCCAAGATCTTCGTCGCATGCGTCGCCAAGACCGTCGTCGCCCTCTCCAAGATCCTCGTCGCATGCGTCGCCGCCCCCTACCTCGAGGAGGCCTTCGACCGCGTCGCACTCCGCATCGCCAGGCTCGGCGTCTGCGTCCATCCCAGCCGTCTCCTCCTCCAGATCCAACAGTGAACCGTCATCCGCCGTAGCTTCCTCTTTCTCCGCCACGGGTTGTGCGCCGCCATCGCTAGTCGCCATAGCGGGGCGACTGTTCGCGAGCTGATCGGCTGCTTGGTGGATTAGCAGCAGCAATGAGATGAGTGTGGTGTATGAAAGGAAATGGTAACTGCTGTCGTTTATCTCTGCGAAACCTCGCCTACGTACTGGAGCCACAAACCCTCACGGATACTTGTGATTTGAGGGCGTGTCCAGTTCGTTCATTTCGGGGATTTTAGTGCCAACACACGTCTCGAGGTTCAAAAATATTCACTGTACCTAAAAACGAATGCATTGTGAGTTGAGTCCCACCTACCTGTAATTTCAGGAGCGCGGACACGTTCTCCGCCACACGAATCAACAGTGCTCTGATCGCGTTCGAAACGAAGTAACAGTTCCCCTCGTCAATCATAGCCAACGAATTTTTGGGCAGGCGGGGGGGGTGTTGGCGAGTGTAGTGAGCTACTGGCGAAATTCTACTAGCGACAGGGGGCACTACTGTAGTGGCCAGGACGCGGTGCTGTACCCTTGTTCGCGTCCCCACTGATTCCAGTAACGTGAGTCAGACGACTCGAGGTACGTGCAGGAGGCGTGCCGTTTTGTGAACGAAAGCTGATTGTGTCCGCAGGACACGTTCAATACATTGTTACAACAAAAAATGTGGTAACTGAGCGGGCTTACGAACAGTAAATGTACGAGCTGGACACCCCCTGAGTCACAACGTGGACATCAATTGCGTTTGCGTTTAATGTAAGGTCGTCGTTCTAGGTTGAGTCTAAGGGCGTATTCGTAGCTTCGTGTCATCCGGGATTCGTGTCATCCGAAATTGTGGGATCCAATCGAAAAAATCAAAGCTCGAAACGCGACTATTTCGATTGGCTCCCACACTTTCGGATGACACAAAACTACGAATACGTCATAAGGAATTTTCTCGCCATGCGACCTGCAACATCGCGTGCAGCAGTAGCCGTTGTTTGCCTTTGCCAACTTCGCGCGCAGTGTTACCAAACCATGCACTGCTGGCCCGGCCGAGTCGGCCTACGCTTCGGGACTAGCCCGAACCTCGCTCCCAGCGTAGCACTTACTAACTCACCCGCACCGCGTTACCGTTTACATCTTTCGCGTATAAATGTTCGTTCATGCCTTCGCTCACATTTTGTACTCGTTTGACACCCTAGTGCAATCCTCGCTACCTCGATCCATTGCACCCGTAACACTTGGTTATCAGAGCCACTTTCTTTCGAATCGCGCATCTCCGCACCCCAGAAAATCAACTTTTGATTTACCACTCGAAGGGACGCACGCACCTTAGCCCCTAGGAGTCGCTGCCCTCGCGTTCTCTCGTAAACGCGTGCAGCCACGACTGCGCCTAGACTAAGACGAGCCGACGCCCTTCGTAATGGCCGAACATATCGACGTCACGACGCTCACACAGGACAGCCTGAACGAACTGATGCGCCAGCTGCACGAGAACTCAGAAGAAATTGCAACGCTGACGGCGGAACGTACGTCCCTGCAAAACGACGTCGCATGAGCATAACAAGCACAGTCAGAAGCACCTGGCACTCCGTTACAGCCTGCACCACAAGCATCGCAGCACGGAAGTGTGGGGCAACCCGCGAGCGCGGCCAGAGATGGCGTCGTCCGCCACGACGAGGACGACGACCACGGCACAACACACCCCGAAGCGACGAATGCGGCCAGGAACCAGCCTCGCGTCACGATTTCGGCACCAACCAACGATTTGGCACTGCCGTCACCGATGCCGCTGAAGCCGCAGCGTCCACCATGTTTTGACCCTAGTCAATAGGGTGGTCCTACCGTTCAGGCATGGTTATTCACGATGAACGCGTTTTTCGACGCCAACTACGTCTCGGAGGATACGGCGAAGATCCGCTACGTCGTGTCGCTGCTGCGAGGACCCGCCATAGACTGGTGGCGTGTCATCATCACCAAGCCGAACGACTACGCGACTTAACCGACACGGGACAAACCGGACCCTGGGCGCCGTCGTATTTCGTGGAGGTGCCACACTATCGCACGTGGGACGCGTGGTGCGCAGATCTGCGCGCTCGATTTGAGCAAATTGCGGCTTCGATCGCGGCGCGTCAGAAGCTCCGTACTTGGCGCCAACTCGGTTCCGTCCAAGATTACACTAGCGTGTTTCTGGCGCTGTGTGAGCAAGTGGGATATATGCACGAAGGCGAGCGTATCTGTCAGAATCCCAACCATTAGACCGTTGGGATAAAAGGGCTTGTTAAGTAGCGTGTCAGTGCGCCCATAACCCCCAAAGCCAACATGCCTGTAACCCTGCCGCCCTAGGATCAATCGGGGATCACCAGTGGACCTCTGACACACCCCCGCACTGGGATGCCCAAAGTGCACACACTAGGATTCGAACTCGAGCCTTCGCTATGATACCATGTCAAAATCCCAACCACTAGACCACTGGGATAAAAGAGCTTGTTAAGTAGCAGGTCAGTGCGTCAATAAACCAACAGGCCAACATGCCTATAATCCTTCCCTAGGATCAATCGGGGATCACCAGTGGACCTCTGACAGTATCGACCGCTACATCGGCGGCCTGAAGCACGACATCGCCCAGGAAATCCAGCTCCGAGGCGTCACTGATTTTCAAGAGATTCTCGCCATGGCGGAGAAACTCGATTTCTTCCGCCGACCAAGACCGGGGTCCTACGGAAGCAGCAGCAACTGCGCACATCGATCTCGTGGGACGAACGAGGGCGCCACGATGCGTGCCGTCGCCGCGAATGCCGCTGCCGCACCGCTTAAAGGGCGCTGCTTCGCGTGCAATCGGTCTGGACACCGTAAGAGCGAATGCCCGGAAAACGCTAAGGGGGAAGCCGAGCAGCAGAAACAGACCAAGCAGCAGGGAAACACTAGGAGTCAGTAGCAGACGGGCCCTCTACTAACTGGTCACGCCGCTCGCCCGACCCAACCAACCCTCACCGAGTGATTGTGCCGGTTCACGCAATCGACCACATCAGGCCGAATAAGGAGGGTACCATGGTAGACAGCCCTATACTGCTTAGCGGGAAAATTGGGACAGACTTAGTTAAGATATTCATAGACGGAAGAGCCAGCCACAGCCTGGTCAATACCGCCACAGCACGGAAACTGAAACTGCCACTGGACAGATGCTTACCTGAGATCGACGCAAGACTTGTTGACGACACGTCACTGGCGATACAGGAACGCGTGGACCGGGTTCGGATTCGATGCAGGGGTAACTTCACGTTTAGTCAGGAAATGTTCGCGACAACCCTCGACAGAACCGGCAATTTACTATGTCGTGATTGGTTGCAATGGCACAATCCGCGAATCGCCTGGACGACGGGTGACTGCATCGTGTGAGTGAATGGTACAACATCGCCTTACCTCGCTGGGGCTCACCTGAGTATTCGTCGTTGCATGTCAACGCAATCACGATGAAACGCGCCGTAGCGGCAGGAGCTGACGTGTACGCGGTCAGTCAACGGGAGTTGTGTGTTGGCCCCGTCCTCGCTTGGGCGGAGCCGACTTCGTGGTCGGGTGTGAGGGGAGCAGCTGACTTGCAGCAGTGGGCGAGCTGGTTGACGAGGAGTTCGACCTGCACGGGAGCCACTGTACGGGCGCCGACTTCAGGGTGGCGCCAACTTCAGGGAGGTCGACTTGGGAAGTCGACCTACGGATGACGTCAACCTGGGGCAACCGACTTGGGTGGTCGGCTGACAGGACCTGCTGGTCGACCTGGTGGTTGGTCGACCAGACCTGCTGGTCGACTTGCTGGTGGTCGACCTGACCTGGTGGTCGACGAAGGAGGGGCCGACATCGACCTCGACTCAGGACGCTGAGCGGTAGGGCGTCGAGTAGCTGGGCGTCAACTTCGTGACGCCGACTTCGGGTAGCCGACTTGGGAAGTCGGCTGACAACTGCGCTGGTCGACGTGGAGCTGGCCGACCAGAAGTGACGTCGACCTGGAGCAGGTCGACCTAGGGGCGTGGTCGACCTGGTAAGGTCGACTTGGAGGTGGCCGTCGACCTGGGAAGTCGGCGGGCACGTACGGGAGCAGCTAGCCGGTCGACGTGGTTGCCGGGTCGACCAGGTTACCTGGGTGACGAGGTTCTGCGGAGGAGTGCGACAGTCGCCCAGGCGAAGTTGGCGAGCCCGACCTCGAGGGTGGTATCCCGAGGTCGACATGGCAGGTCAGGTGGAGTCGTCAGCACGAGGATGACTTGGTGTGTGCGTTGTGCAGGTGACGAGGCTCAGCCCGCCAATCATCTACAAGCACCTGCGAAGCGGGTGCGCTGCTGTTCTGCGTGAGCAACGCTGGCACGCCGTCAACGTGCGACGTTGGCACGCCGTCGACTTTGCACTGCTGGAGCGCGGTCGACCAAGTCGTGCTGGAACGCGGTCGACCAAGCTACGCTGGCAGTCGACCGACCTGAATGCTAGCTCTGATGTAGTCTTGCTATGCCAACTTCATTGTACTATTTTTTGTTGTCAACTTTCTCTAGTGAAACTCTTGCCAATTCTCCCCGTGAACTAGCAAGCTGTGTGTGCACTAGGAAAACGACTAAGGAACGGAGAACGCAGAGATCACACACAGAAAACGGCTAAGACATCGTTTCGAACACGCTACGGATCTTTCGAATACATTGTCATGACCAACGCCCCCGCCACTTTTCAAATGACGATGAACGAAGCCTTCTGCCCACTTTTAGATAAGTGCGTCATCGTCTACTTAGATGACATACTGATTTGCAGCCCCGACAGAGCACAGCACCTACAGGACATCGAAGCAGTTTTTAAAATACTGAGTGAGAACCGCCTACTGACAAAGGCCTCTAAGTGTGAGTTTCTACAGGACAGACTGGAATTTTTAGGCCACATTATTTCAGCTGACGGAATGGAAATAAACCCGAACAGATCGCGACGATCCAAGCTTGGCACACGCCGACAAATCTGACTGAGCTGCAAAGTGGGGTTCTTCAACAACGTGCGCCAGTTCGTCCCCGACATGGTGAAGTTGACTGCTACGT